TCGAGGCCAGCCTGGGCTACCAAGTGAGTCCCAGGAGAGGTGCAAAGCTACACAGAGAAACCCTGTCTCGAAAAACCAAAAAAAAAAAAAAAAAAATGCAAATTTAACTCTATTTGTTTAACATTCTTTTATTTAATATTGCAGACATAAGCACTTCCCACTGTCTTTGTTACACAAGAATGATTTTTATCATTGCAAATAGCTTATTGATAAAAAAAACCCAAAAATTTATAAAAACAAAGAAAAGCCACTTGCTGGGTCCACACCTCAGTGTTAGGAGCCCAAATGCCTGACCTGCGCCAGGACATCTGAAGACAGGCTGGCTGGCTGGTGGGGTGGGTGGGTACTATCACAAGGGGAGCAGGGAGGTTCTGTTCTCACACCCAGAGTGGACCCCGAGTGCTCAAGCATGCTCTGCCAGAGCTCTTAGAGGCTTGTTCAGGGGCTGCTGGCTGCCTCCTCCTTCAGTCTTAAAGGGGAAACTTGACAAAATACATTTGAACTGAACTCAGGAACATTACAAATAACGAGATTCCAGGACATGTGGCAAGGATGATTTCTGCAAACCTATTCAGACTTTGACTCTCCCTAGAAAGAGCTCTCTTTTCTGTTCATTACGGACAGATTCAGACTTCTTCACTGTTGTGTGAAGTAGGAAGTGAACAAAGATTTAGATGAAAATAGGGGGAGTAAGAGGAGACTGTCTAGTAACAATGCAAGTACAGAAATTGACATCTTCACCCTGAAGACTTTCTTTTTATTCTTCTCTTGGCATGCCACCTACATGGCTCTTCTTTACTCTCTATTCATTGTGCAGTCCACCGAAATAAAAATGTTTACAATCTCATTGATGTTTGTGTTTCAATAGGAAGAGCTAATAAATATGCTTCACTTTTCCTTATCAAATTTTGGGCGTATTTAGTGAAGGGTGGTTTGGAGAAAAGTAGACAAGGCTATAACAACCAGGAGGAGGGTAGAATTAGAGAGACTAGGCAGAGAAATGCATCACACAGAATCAGGGATACAGTAAGTCAGAGGAGGTAAACATATGTGTGGGAAGTGCCGCTCTCTTCCTACAGAAGCAATGACTTTATCTTGAAATATTCATGGACTTAACAGTTCTGATTAAGCCACTGTGACCATTGCCACCCCTCACAGCATGTTTTGAAAGTTAGAGCCCCTGTGGAAAAAGACTAAGCACACTTAGAATCTATAGTAATGTGTTCCAATGCAAGTGCCTCTCATGAAGCATGGTTTTCTTTTGCATGTCTTAGCAACCTATGTATACAAAAGTCATTACTAATATTAAGTGCCCAGCTGAATGTCTTACATGTGATAACTCAATAGATATTTCTTCTTATAAGTAATTTGTGCTTTATTATATAAATAATTAAAGACATGCTTCAGCGTACTCCTTTTCAATTAGCTTAAGCTACACTCAAAACAGCTTTGAAATAGAGCTTATTTATAGTCAGTATATTGGATGGGCACTGGCAAATAGGCAAATAAGTCCTTTTCATGGAATATCAGCCATGCCACACTTCCTGGGGAAGTCCACCAAAATTCTGTAGATGTCTGCATTTGTCCTTTCTTTTTAAAATCCAAGAGAAAATCTACCTCTTTCCCTCCCTTCTTTCCTTTTTCCTCCCTTCCTTCCTTCCTTCCTTCCTTCCTTCCTTCCTTCCTTCCTTCCTTCCTTCCTTCCTTCCTTCCTTCTCCCTCCTGTCCCTCCCTCCCTTCCTCCCTCTCTCCCTTCCTCCTTCCCTCCCTCTTTACCTTCCTCCATGTCTCCCTCTCCTTTTATTCCTGCCCAAAGACTGTTTTGGAAAGGCAAAGGGGCCCAACAGACAAGTTTTTACTGTTTACCTCCTGAATTATTGGATGAACAAAGAGAATAAAGTTCTGGTGAAATGCCAGTATTTATTTCCCTATAATAAAGCCATCTGTACATGATTATAATAATAACCTACTCTTTGTCCAAACTATCCAAATGGATACACTTTCTTTTCCACATTTCTAACAAGAATCCATGTAGTATTGATTTATCCTGATACTGAATACCCAGTGTGCCTCCAACATTAATGTAGTGTTTTAAATATAATTATTTTATAACTTTTGTTGTCTTAGCTTATTGCGTTATTCTGTCCCAGGTAGGAGAACACTGATTTGTCTTTAGGATTAATTGCATTTTATAAAACACCTGAAGCGTTGCTTGTGTAAGAAAAAAAAAAAATTATTCCCCATCTCAAGATTCCTCGGTGCTGTCCACATTTCATCAGATTGTTAAATTTCTCAGCTAAGCACAACAGATTATGTTTCAAGTGTTTTGGACAGACAGAGCTTATTTTATCCAAAGAGATAAACTTGAGGATTATTTGGAAGACCTCTGATTGTGTGTGTGTGTGTGTGTGTGTGTGTGTGTGTGAGAGAGAGAGAGAGAGAGAGAGAGCGCAATCACAGTTTTAGAATAACAATGTTATTTTTCTTCCTCTTCATGTTTCACTTCAACTAAATCCTTGGCTTAAAGTGGAACTCACCCTCCCATCTGCTCTCTTTGAAATGACATTTATTATCTAAAGCCTTACATTTGGAATAAATAAGAAACATCATCACATTTTTTCATATTGAATTATATATATAAAGATTTTCATTTGGGAGATTACAACATCCTCTTACTCAGAATTCTTTTGTAATCTTTGCAGAAAAGGCTGTTCTAATGGACAGCAGAGGGAGCTCGTACTCAGTCTATGAAGGCAAATACCTCATCACCCAAACCACAGTTCCAGCAATAGAGATGCATTTAAGATTAAAAACGAAACAAATCAACAGAAAACAAAACCCAAAAGGTGTTTACTGTATTTTAAAGACTGGAAAGCATAATGGTCCCTACCAGAGGCTAATTGTAGTAGTTACTGCCAGAAATATGTGAGTGTTTTTTTTTTTCCATGTTATAGTTTAACTTGCTTTATAGAAGAAAGGAGATATATCCCATAGTGGCATTTCCTGGGCTATACCAGTGAACATAGAGCCATGTTCAAAGCAATCATAAGTAATGACTATAAATTGTGACCTGTGAGATTAAATCTGGTCGACAGAGATTAAACAACCTAAAACTAGCAACTATATAATAATGTAGAACTAGCTCTTAAAAAGCTCCTAGGGCAGAGGCAGGTGGATCTCTGTGAGTTTGAGGCCAGCCTGGGCTACAGAGTGAGTTCCAGGAAAGGCACAAAGCTACACAGAGAAAGCCTGTCTCAAAAAACCAAACCAAAAAAAAAAGCTCCTAGAGTGTAAGGTGGGTCCACAAACTAAGACATGTAAATATAGCCTGTTGGTTTTTGTGGAAAGGAAGTTGTACTGGAAAACAGTGATGTCACTGTTTTTCCCACTGGGTATCTTCTCTGTCAACATTGCACAGTCACAGTGTTGTGAGCTCAACTACGGACCTGACTGAGAACATGTCCTGTTTGATCTTCCGCTTAAAAAGCTTGGAACCCTTTCTCTAGATATTTAAGCAAGCTCTGGACGAGTCCTTCACTCTTCTCTTTTTAAATTTTAGGTTTTAACATCATGCTACTTCAGCTTTCAGCCATAAGAAGGGCAAAAGGCCATGATTGGGAAATACGGCCTACTTGGTGGAATGCCAACCTCACACCGAGAAAGCAAATTAGGAAGAAAGAAAAGCTCACACACAACTTTGACTTGTTTGGTTAGAAAAATCACTGATACATCATTTTCTCCATCTCTTCAAAATTATGAAGACAATCAGCCCTTTTTTCTTTTCTTTTCTTCTTCTTCTTTTTTTAAACAAAGATAACAAATATATAAATCTGTCAGAAACAGCCTTCCAAGAGCAACTGCAACCACCCAACCAGGGGGTTCCACCTTTGGGAGGTTGATGGTTAGGGATTTCAACACTTGAACTCTTGCCATGTTGTCAATTTCATAGTGGCTGTAGTGAGAAGGGAGAGTGTAGACAGCAGATGCAATAGCAGATTCGATCCTGTTACCATCAAGACTGAACTAACTCTCTTCAGAGAACAAAAGCTTGCAAATGTCTCCACAGCACTCTTGGCACAGATGTCTTCATCCCATATGAAAAGAGGCAGTTTCTATGGCAACACTGGTTAAGTGCCTATCATGCTGCACTAATATAGTGCAAAATGTGCCTTCCATATAGCAAAAAAGATGTAGGCAACCAGTGTGAATTTAGGGAAAGTAGAAATGTGTTAACACAAGCATATTTGTTTTCTAGACAATAACTGCTATAAAATACCGAACTTGAGGATTCTGTCTTCTAAGGTCCTAGAATATGTCCAGCATTCATACATTGGAGAGAGACAAGAATAGTCTTATAAAAAGAGTTTGTCTCTGAAATGCAGGCCAATAAAAGCTACCATCAACCATGAAGATGCTAAATTGTTCAATGGGTTCTTCATCTAGCATAGGGCTTATGTCTTCTTCACTGTTAAAAGTTGATTATTAACAAGTATATAAGATGACATCATATTGTAAGTCATTTGATTGAGTATACATGTTGTTATGCTTAAGTGTAGAATTGAAAAGCCTTCATTATGAACTCTTCATGCTAGAAAGTTCTGTGGGTTAGTACTGCAAGCAGTCTTGCATCTGGCTTCCAAATTGGCCAATTTCCTCATTGCTTTTTAGAAATCAAAAGTGTTTTCTTTTTTTCAATTGGTGGATTTCTGAAAAGATGATACAAAACTCTCAAGACACAACATGCATTCCACTTCATGTCCTAGAATTCTCAAGGTTGACTCTCTATATGTCAGTGGCACTGTCTTGAATATTCCCAGTGGAAGTAGGGTTTTCTCCTTTTTTTCTTAATGATAGTGTTCATAACAGTTAAAGTTGATTATAATTCATAATTTGAATACTGGCCCTGTGGCCCTTGGATGTCTACTACAAAGGCAAAAGGCCAAGCTTGGTTGTTTCCAGGAATATTCAATGTTACATATCAGCATCTCCATCATATGCTAAGGTTAAAGGTTTGAGGCGGTTGTTTTGCCGTCTTTGGGGTTTCTTTGGCTTTTTGCTGTAGGAAATTCAGGAAACATTGAAGAAAGAAAGTCAGCCTTTCATGAGTATTATTTCATGTTTTAAACTAAAAAGCAGAACAAAATGGTAAATCTAAGTTGCCTATTTTCCACACTGCCTTTTAGAATATGACTTTGTGGTCTTTTTGAGTTTCACAGTTTCAAGAGGCTGTGTTAAGTAAGGTATTTAACTATTTTGTAAAAGCCAAATTAATCAGTTTCTTAGTTGATAACAATAGAAGTGATGATATAGTATATTTTGAGTTTCTTCAGGAAGTTTTATAAATAATGTACATTTACAAATACAGTTAAATAAGACTAAGAATTATCATAATGTCTTCCTCTAGGGAAAATTCAATATAAAAATATATATTATATACCATCCATGAAAAGCAACATTCTATGTCATTTATTCATGAGAAAAATTCTTTAAAAAAATGACCTAGAACAGTTCTGACTCATTTCCGAAATCTGAATGACTCAGACATGGAAGGCAGATTTCAGGCTCTCTAATCTTAAAGTTTATGTTTGAAATTCAGAACTTTGTATGAACATGGAGTGAGCACAGCATATACATTCCACACACACTAGTCTGTTCCTGTGTCTGGCAACCGAAAGGGTCTTCTTTGAAATAACAATCTTATATATCCTTCTAGATTCTGAAATATTTAAAAACTCACCAAGCTAGATAAATCATGGAGACAATGAAGACTAACAGCACAATTGCCCCTGCTGCGACACCATAAACCCAGGTCTTTAGTCTCCCATCTAAGAAGAACAGATATTAGTTATTAGTTTACATTAATCTGGAACATATATGACAGGTTTGAGCTGTGACCCATGATCAGTCATATATGACCAGTTCTGTTCAAGACTCAATTTGAATTCTTTCCTAGCATCATTACCACTAATGTAAAGCAGCTACTAGGAGTTAGGCAGCAAGACATTCAAGGGGAATCAGCAATGGAAACAGTTGAAAAGCAAACAAATTGTGTTTACACTCAGATGCTGAGTTCAAGTTTTAACTCTTTATAAGAAATCTTATCTCAAATTCATTATGTGCATTGTTCTATTCACATATGCTTTGACTTTTCCACCTATTTCAGGAATGGTATATTTAAAAGATAAAAAATAATGCAGCTTTTGAGCAATTCATAAAACCTGGAGTGGATGCCAGTGGGTATTTGACAATTTACTGTGATTTCAACAGTTTTGTACCAGATGAAACTTAACATACTTACTTATTTGTTTAGTAAATAAATCTTTTATCTCATCTATACTTGTACTGTGCTTTGACAGTTAATAGAATTTGCAGAGATAATCACATAAAATAACATAGGAAGGGATTTTTAAATGTCCCTTTGCAAACTTTTCTGATATGTGCAGTCACAGGTGACAGACATTATTCTAGTTCAATTTTGGGGCTTCTTCATCCTTGAAGCGTTAGGCTCTGAGTAAACTTCAAACATGCATTGCTCAGGATGATATTGCCTAACTTAATCTGATGCTAACATTAGCATACATTGTCTGTATCTACATTTAAGCATGTAGGCAATATGTACATACAAGTGTGCAGACAATACTCATATCATAATATGATATGAGTATGAAAATTAGATGTTGACAAAAATGACCCTATGGAGACTTAACAAATATTTGAAAAGTATCAAATGCTGATTAGTACTAGGTATGTTGTTCATTAGAGGTCCAGTTGTTGGAAATAAATTCAGCTAATACTCTAAATATCACTTCCTTTTAAACCCGGAGATTTAAAAAGTATTTTTTCCTTGTTTCTTCTCTCTCTCTCTCTCTCTCTCTCTCTCTCTCTCTCTCTCTCTCTCTCTCTCTCTCTTTCTTGAATGAGTTTAAAATCAAAAGGTCTCTTCTACTACTAGGCTTCTTTGCTGTGAATATTACTTAACAAATATTCAAAAACAAAGAATGTCTTCAATCAGAATATGCACCTCTTTGCTATTTTAATATATTCATTTTGGGGGAAATTATTAAACTAAGTGGAAAAAAATACTTTTATTTAAAGTGAGAAAAGTTCTCATTTGTGGAGATCTGCTTAAGGTCAAAATTGCTAAATGATAATTTGTTCTTCTGACTTGGAGAGGAGAGTTTCTAACATTTTTACAGGCAAATCAGCTTTTCAAAATTTAATTGTATTTTCAGCTAAGAATCCAATAAAATCAGTGATTATATGAATAAAGGTAATCACCCAGATATTTAAAACACCTTAAAAATTCAATATTGGTTCTTTCATAAGGGAAATACTTTTACTTAATGGATCATAAACAGAGGAATGCTAGATATGCAAATTTCTTCTTTCATTTCTCATGTTTCTGTTGGAATTATATAGTTAATTATGTCTAGCTTGGCACGGATCTTCTCCATGGTGAGAAAGAAAGAGGCAGAATCCATGTTGCCTATGGAGCACTAGTAGGGCACTTTATGTACCTGGAGACAGGTGTATACTATCTATTGCAGTTAGAGGGAGAAAGCGTGCAAAGTAGAGAGTAGCCTTCTTCAAGCCTGCAGGCTTATTCCTGTGTTGGATTCAAGTCCTTTCCTGATGTACCAAGAGTATATATTGTAACATGACAATGGTCTGGTCAGCATCCAAGTTTGGATCATTCCATCAAGAAAGGAAGGCTCCATTACCACCTCGGTATATTTGCACTAGTATGGATTCTGAGGCATCTGGGAACATCAACTCTGGGGATGTTACTTATTGTTCTACCATCCGAGTGCCCTTGGCATGGAACTGTAATTGCCATGCTCTTTGTGAATGTTTACACCACTGACTCTGTATATTAAGCTGAAAACTCCAAATGTCTTTATAGTCTTATTTGTTCTTGTTGTAAGTGAAAACATATTTTTCCTAATTACTTTCATTATTACATAGCTTTATTCAATGTTTATTTATTATACTTACAACTTTAAGTCTAGGTTTTAGATAAGTGATATCAATATTATTTTTTTTTCTGAAGAAAGTAATTTTATTTCTATGTATTTGGGGCATGGGTATTTCTTTCAACAAGGAAAGCAAAATGACAAAGATAGCTGCAATGTTAAAATGAGTAAATGGGTTAAGAAACAATCATTAATTTGAAAATGCTTTGTTATTAAAAAAAATCTTGTGGCATTGTTATTGGTGGAATGTCTAAGTAAAGAATTTTGTGTCCAGTGTCTGGTTGCTTCACCTGGCCCAAACGGCTGTAGAAACCAGGTCCTGCCCCGTCCTGCTGGGTTAGTGGAGGGTTGGGTTGGGTGAACTGCCCGACTGGTTTTCACGTCTCCTCTTTTGTCCTCCACAGTGGGAATCACCACCACTGGGATAAGTGTACATTGCTCAAGGGTGCTGTTGGAGGACATGACTTCAGTGTACCCTTCTTCACAGCGACATGCCTTCATCTGCAGGAGAACAGGGAGGTTTATATTCCACATGAGATGCAATCTTGGAAACCATAACTAAGCTTATTCAGAAAAGGAGCACTAAGAAACATTTTAAAGAGAATTTACAACATGCAATTTTCACCTTAGCTACATTAATTCCGCCTCCCCATGCTACTGTGCAAAGTCATTCTAGAGGTAAATATGGGAAGTGCATTGAGAGTCGTCCACATAGTTTAAAAGAAATGCTTAGAAGTGGATCGTTCCTGCCTCCAGTCATGGCTTTTTTAGGACTAGGGAGGGACTGCACCAGAGACAGCAGGGTGATAAACAATGGGGGTAGCTTGTCCATCTTAATGAATGTACACATACCTCACTACAGTATGAGTGGGGTTGGCTACAGGGTGGGTTACACGACCTGTCGGCATCAGGCTGGCTCACCACCAAGCAGCCACCTGCAGAACAGAAAATCATATTTTAACAAATGGTTCCTCTTGGTGTGATAAACATATACATTGTTATAGACTTGTCTTGGAAGTTTGAACCACTTTGGAAGTTCCAAGAAGTTCTGCACTTTCAAAATGGCTGGCTAAGCTCCATCACTTTCATTAGTAACTTGGGACCTTTGTACCCAGATGACAGCATTAGGGCTTGTGCTTTTTAAGTATCCAAGACAGACTGCAAAGGGCCTGATTTCATAGCTGCTATTTTTGAAACACTAGTTTCATATAACCTCTTTCCAATAAGGGCCAGAAAAAAAAATAGGTCATATAACCTATTTTCTCAAGCCAAGCCCAGCAATTGAAAAACAAAAACAAAACAGATTTCATTTTATTTTATAGTAAATAAAATATTGGCTACTCAATATGGTAGCTTTCACATCCCTCAAAGTAACTTTTCAATTTATTTGACCATTACACAAAAATGTTTATTATAATGCATATTTATTTTTAAGAAAAATCACTATTCTTGTTGTTAATTCCAGATATTTATGGTTGCCGGGAAGAAGACCAATGTAACTAGCAAGTCTTTTGCTTGAGCTATTTTCCAATTTGCCATTGAAATTAATTCTTCTAATTTATTTCTCTCGTACAATACAGACTGTGCATTACCTGATGTTGCACTTTAAAGAGAGAAGCAGTTGCCCTAAAGAAACAATATTGGTGATATAGGTGTGACTCACAGTTTCAAACTATACATACTCAGCTTAACAAAACTTTAGCCAAACAAATGATTTTCCTTATTGAGCTCATAGTCTTTGGGATTCAATCCAGGTTCCCATCATCAATTCTTTGTTTTTCTTTTAATCTTATAAATGCTTTTTTAAAAAGGTTTTTATTCATTCATTCTTTCATATTTAAAAATACGACAACATAAATATAATAAGATAAAACAAAAACTATCACATCACAAAAGCAGTTAGTCATTGCAAGGTAATTGCAGTTTAGTGAGCATACTATCTATTACTAAACATGTGAAGAGAAAAGAAAGCAGTCCCATGGCTTTCTTACAGAGGTGATCTATCAGTTAAAGCAATTGATCCACATAGATAATGTACTTTACATTTGTTTTCATAGAGAAAACCATCTAAACGGTGGAAGGAGAATGCATCTAGAGTTTATCGTAAGTCATTTCACACTGATTTCTGGGCAACAGAGAAAAAGAATTGTATATACACTTGATTGAATTAAAAATAAATTTAAAATGTGATTTATACTGATGACTTTAAATTTCAACTTGACGTTGATTTGGGGAATAGTCTCAGTTGCAGTAGGAAAACAATAGTGTTAGAGCAAAAGCAGAAAAATACTATTTGCCTCTATATTAGCAAAAAACCTTCTATCAAGTAGGACCTTTTAGGAAACTATTAATTTCCTTCAGAATCACTTCAAGAATGACACATTCCTTCCCCCATCTGAGCTAAGTGAATGACACTTGAAGCACCTGGTTTGGAATGGCTATACTTCCCTAGTTGTGCTTTTTATCACCCATTCATCTTAGAATGGAGTTTGGGTTGATTGCTTTCCTTCACCAAATAATACTGGTGAGCTGCAAAAAGCTTCCTGGTAGGAGTGTTTTCTATTATATATTATATGTCCACTGGGAGATGCTATTATCAAAGACTTCTTGGTATAGCTTTTATTCATGAAAAATCCTGTCTTCATAAGAATATAATTTGACATTCTGTTCTGGCTTTCATAGGGAAGAAATAAGTAATTAGGTTTCAATAAACCTCGGTCACTTGAAATTCAATATAAAAATTGATGTTTTCCAAGAAGCACATTGATCCTGCCTGGGTCCTATGATCTCACTGTATATATGAAAGTTAAATCACAAATGATTTACTCAGGGGCACCAGAAGCATACCACATTGTTTTGCTTGCAGAAGAGTTGAAACAAGAGGCCCAAGTCACAGGTACCCTGGACAGCTGACAGTCAACAGCCATCCTGCCTCTGATATGGAGATTCCTAACAACTAAATTATTTTAAAATGATAATTAAGGAAAAACATTTTAAATTAGTGTTTATGTGTCTGAAGTTGAGGGTCTGTCCTGACCTTGATTTTTTCCCTCTGAAATTTGCAGGCTATTCAATACACATTCAGCCTGAATTTTTCCCTTTAATAGGTGTTTGGAATGAGCCCTTGACTTCACTGAGCTCGTACAAAGAACTTGTAAATTAAAGGATTCTACTGGAGATATTTTTGAAAAATCTTCTTTTGATTTTCTTCTTTGGAAGTATAATAGTTGTTTGTGAAAGGGACATAGCAAATGTCCCTCTCTGAAGCCCTGGGTTTGAATTTGCTGATAAATCTTTATTAATCAACAAAATGTCTTAATAATAGTTTTGATAATTCAGGTATATTGTGTTTATATATGCATACTACCTTGATCTGTATCATCTTCAAAGCATACAAGCAGAAATAGTGAAAGGCTTAGTTATGATTTTCTTTGTATATAGTAATTTGTTAATGTACAAAATTTCTAGGGAAAATCAAGAAATCACTTATATTCATTTATTAGTGTTGAGCAGTATTTCAAATAAATATATTCTAATGTCCAAAGATAATAGGTAAGAGAGAACTTGACATATTTTAAAATAAAATAATTTGTCACTGGTCACTACACATGTGTACAACACAAATTTCTTGATTCCAACAATGTGTTAACAACTGAATGTCCTCCAGAATTCAACTACATATGTGTTACAGGAATAAATTCAGAAAAACAAGATATTGGTGGTTTACCTGTTACATTTATGCCATCTGACCTTTGGCACCAGACTGTCCGAGAGGAGCCCTTCCAAGCACTCGCCATCCACTTATACTCATAGCACTGTCCGTCTGCAGGCATAGAGCAAGCACTGATGTTTCATTACTCAGGATCATCATGTGAGAGTATTACCAATGAATGTATGAACAAGTGAAAGGGGACATGAAGTCTATTGCTGAGGATGACAATGTCAATGATCTGTCTAGAAGTTGCAAAAAAAATTGATAAAACTGCAGTTGTTAACATAGGTCCCTACTAATGTCCCCACTACTCTGTCCTGCTATTGTGACAGACCCTGGACGTGTAATTTAATTTATGGTTTACTGTGGTAATATATTATGTACCCTAATAAAATTTTCCTGAATATCTGAGAACAGAACAAGCCACTAGATTAAACATAGATGTCAGGCAGTGGTGGCACACACCTTTAATCCTAGTACTCGTGAGGCAGAGATCCATCAGAATCTCTGTGAGTTCAAAGCCACCCTGGACTACATGAGATTGACTCAGTCTAGGAGAGAAAACAGAGCCAGGCAGTGGTGGCACACACCTTTAATCCCAGTACTGGGAAGCACACATGCCTTTAATCCCAGGAAGTGATGCCTGGGCAGAAAAAGGTATGTAAGGTGCGAGGAGACAGGAACTAAAGGCTTTTAACGGCAGAAGCGTCCCTTTCAGCTAGAGGCTTTTTCAGGCTGAGGAGTCCTAGAGGTAAGATGTGGCTTTTTCCTTTGTCTCCCTGATCTTTCAGCATTTACCCTAATATCTGGCACCAGGATTTTATTAAAAGACTGTTTAAAATTCATGTTACAGTTTACTAAACAATACCTATCCACAAACCCAGCCCTACAGAAAGGACTAGAAGGAAAATTCCAACCGAGGGAAGTCAGATACACACTTGAAAACACAGGCAATAGATAAAGCCACAACAGTAAACCCCAAAGAAGAGAAGTACACACACACTACCACCAAAAATAACAGAGATGAAGAATCACTGGTCATTAATATCCCTTAATATCAACGGACTTAATTCACCTATAAAAAGACATAGACTTACAGAATGGATACGAAAGCAGGACCCATCCTTCTGCTGCATACAAGAAACACATCTCAAATTCAAAGATAGACACTACCTAAGAATAAAAGGCTGGGAAAAGACTTTTCAATCAAATGGTCTTAAGAAACAAGCAGGGGTAGCCATCCTGATATCCAACAAAATAGACTTCAAACTAAAATCAATCAAAAGAGATCAAGAAGGACATTACATCCTCGTCACAGGAAAGATCGACCAAGATGAAGTTTCAATTCTGAACATATATGCCCCAAACATAAGGGCACCCACATATGTAAAAGAAACATTACTAAAGCTTAAACCACATATAAAACCCCACACATTAATAGTGGGAGATCTCAACACCCCACTTTCACCACTGGACAGATCTCCCAAATCGAAACTTAACAGAGAAATAAAGGACTTAACCGATGTCATGACCCAATTGGACCTAATAGATATCTACAGAACATTCCATCCTAACAAGAAAGAATATACCAAAGTTTTAAACTTTTTTTTTTATACACTGGAACATGGAACATATAGATAAATACAGAAAGTAACTAACTGTAAAATATACTAAATTATTTATCATTGATAATAATTGAATTCTAACAAAGATTACCATTTAGCCATACTTGCTTTAGTTTTCATTTGCTTAATCATCAATAAAATGAGTTAAGAACTTGTTATTGTATAACATTATTTTTTGATCCTACCCAGTTAATATCATTCTGAGGCAAATATACTGCTTTCTACATTGTTTTTAGTTTTCACTATATACATATGTATATCTTATTTAATATTAATGAATAAGATTAATACTTCTTTCAAATTAACATTTTATTCAGTATTACGGTTTCACAGTCCATTGTGTTTTATATATAATTCAGGACTTTATTTGTCATTGTTACAGATAAACTATCTGAATGTGATTTTTAATGTAGATCTAGTCAATTAATTTTAACTGACACATAGAATTGCATTGTGTCAGGTATTATAATTTATTCAGTGTTTTCTTTGGTCATGTTATCTTAAATTATTGTCATTAAAAATGCCTTGTTGGTCATCCCAGAGGCAAGTATATTGGTACTTTTTTACCTATAACTATCTGGAAGAGAAATCTCTGGTATAACTGTAGACAGCTGACTCTGCTAAACACTGTCCATCTTTGTGCACTACAAGGCAAACATTTGAACACCCAACTGTAGTAGTGGTTCTATTGCTCTGTTTCTCTCTGCACACAGGAAGACTTAGAATAACACATTTATTTTTAACCAGTCTTGGGTGTATGAAAGTCTGTCTTATCATAGTAAAATAAATTCTTGATAACTAAAGTTATCAAACTGTTTAAAGAATGTTTTGGATGTCCTCTAATCAAAATGGCTTCTTTCTGTTTTATTTCTTATTGGCACCCATGTCTTTACTCACTAAAATGAAGGAGTTATTAATTTTAAGTAGTGAGCATCAATGTATGCACAAGGAAGCCCAGCTGTCTTGATATTCCAGCAAGTGTGCACCTCTGTTCCATGTTCAACTACACATCTGGGTGTAAGGCTGGGTTTGCTCTACAATTCTCCATCCTTTCCTACTAGAGTGATTGCTTCATTATTGGCAAGTAATTCTACCAGTGTTTACATAGTGTGAGTCATAAGAAAAGGCCATTGAAATCTCCCGGCCTCTTCTCATAATTTTTGTTTTCAAAAAATTTCTTGGCTCTTTTTGTTCTTAATACCTGCAAATGAACCCCAGGATCCACTTCTCAATTGCCTTAAAAACCCATTGAAATCATATGGAATTTGTAGGTAAACGCATGTCAAATTCATGGGTGTCTCTGCAGATAGTCATTTATGAGATGGTTCACTGCTAGTCTTTTAGTCACTTCCGTTGGGATTTTATGGTTTTTCTATATGTATCTTACTCCACTTTTGTTAGATTTAGGTACAGCTTCAGTATAGTTTTTTTTTTCTAGTAAAGATTTTATTATTGAATTTTCCTGGAAAATAAAGACTAATTATTTTAATGTTAGTTTAAAAAAATCATGTTTCTAAACTTTCTTCTTACTTCCAAATACTTATATATTTGAGTGAATTAATATGCACATTTTCTCCCAAGTTTGGCTTACAGATTTTTATTGTACATGGGCACCCAGTCACATTTTATGCTGTATTAAATGTGAATATAAATTAAATACATTTGAATTTGTAGTAGTTAAAGAATCCATGGCATAGCTTTTCTGTTAATGTTGATATATTAATAACACCCTAAGTTATCTTCATTTACATTTTTATGTTTATTAGTAAAACTTCTTTATAGAATTTTTTCTAAACAGTTTTCTATTTGTAGTAATGTAAATTTGCTTTTTTTTCTTTACCTCTTTGTTATGAAGTGGCCGTTTTGTTCCTTTGTCATAGTGTGGGGTGTTTACCCACCAACCCCACAGTTCACCAGAGTTTTCTTTCCCCAGAGTCAGAGCAGCAAGGAAATATTAGATAGAAGGATTTAGATTGTGGAGATAAACAGAAAATAAAGGATAGCCTCAAGAGGGCCTAGAACCTATTCCAACAGGCCCTGACTGTCTTTGCCCGAGGGTATTTATAGAGATGCCAAAAGGTGGAGCAAAAGACCTCGCCCCAACACAGCCAAGTGCAGACCATCTCAGACACCTGCACTCAGGCCCGTGGTCCTAATCATCCTCTCTATGTGGACCTGCTGGGTAAAGCCACGAGGAACCTGAAAACGGGCTCCCACATCATAGAAGATACACTGTTATTTCTGTTGACTGTCTATTTTCTCTGCTTAATTCAATTTGTATTTATCTATGTAGGCTGCATACTACTTCCTTTTTCCTGATTTTTAAAATTTAATTAAAATATAATTACTGCATTTTTACTATGCGTCTTTTCTATTGAAAACCTCCCATTTCCCCATTCTCCCACTCGTCACATTCATGGTCTCTTTTTTTTCCCCTTGAGTTTTTATCCTCACATATCTACTTCCTCTTAAAAAATAAAATTTCTTGATTTAAATATGCAGCTTATTTTTGCTCTTTCCCACATATGTGACCATGCAAGGTCTTTAAGTCTCTTCCAAACACTTCTTTCTCTCCTAATAGCTTACAGGTAGCAACTTTGTGGCTTCCAGGTTTTGCTCGTGTGTGTAGGAGAGGATTTCTTCTGCAGTTGTACTATTGACTTCTAATTTTGCTTCACTGTCATTTAAGAACAGCAGTTTTTTCCTGTGACCTGGGATTTATTTAATGAGTTGCAAACCACAAGCTTCTGTACTTCTTTGCTGTCCTAGGAATCAGGGATATTTTACGTAGTTGGTAAATTTGGTAAGGTTATATTGACATATATGACTAGGTAGGTAATTTTACCTAATTCTTAGGTTAACTAATCTACTTCATTAGTTTTCATTCTATGTGGTCTCAGCATCTTAGGTTTCATCCTCTAGTTTTCTGACCCAAGGTGATTTCTTTTTCTGTCTAACTTGCTATTTGTTTTATCTCACATTTCTTAACCATTACAGAACAAAGCTAAGAAGTTGTACCTTATATTCTTTACTAGATACCAAGTGTTTTGTTGTTATCAAGGTGCCACCATGGTCCAAACTGTGACATTATAATGCACTGGGATTCTGGTTATGGAGTGTGCTACAAATATTGAAGGACTGCTTCTGTATATGCGTATACATGCATAGACACATGACCATGTATTCACATGATGCTCTAGTCCAGTTATTGTGAAGTTAAAATTGCTAATTCTTACCAATTAATTGATTAATCAGCTTCTTAGACTCTGCTAAAGAGTCTAATTTTACTGTGGTTTTGAAGTGCTTAATTTTGTTATTTGTTTCCACTTGGTAGACAAATGGAAAATATTAGACTTGTGTTTGATCATAGGTGTTATAAATTACAAATATACAATCAATGATCCTAATTATCTTAGGCTTCTACAATTGTTAAAGCTAGGAAATATTTTTACAACATTCTATATTGTAAAACCAGAAGCGTTCTCTCTCCCTCCCTCCTCCTCCCTCTCTCCTCATCTCTGTCTCTCTGTCTCTCTTCTCTCTGTCTCTGTTTCTCTCTGTCTCTGTTTCTCTCTCTCTCTCTCTCTCTCTCTCTCTCTCTCTCTCTCTCTCTCTCTCTCTCTCTCTCTCTCTCTCTGCATATAGAGTCTAGAGGCATATATCTGAAGGCTACAGGACAGCCTGGTTGTTGGTCATCCACATTGTTTGGGACAGAATCTGTCTTTTGTTGTTGTTGAGTACATTGGGCTAGCTGGCTCTCAAGCTACTGGAAATTCTTCCGTCTCTGCCTTCAGTCTTTGAGGATTCAAACTCAGGTCTTTGTACTCGCATGGCCAGCACTTTACCTACTTAAGCACACCCTTGGGCCCTCAGAATTTTACTTTGAATTTAATTCTGAAGTGTAAATAGAAATCTAACAAATTCAGTCATTCAACAGAAAATTGAACTCAACCAAATGAATAGAATCAGGAATTGAAGCACTCACCATCACATGACTTTGTTTCTAACATCTGCTCTGGGCACAGATGTTGATTCTCCAGTTCCTGTATAATCACTGCTCTGGATCGGACCTGTATTCCACCAAAGCCAAGATCCTCACCATTCACGCAGGTCAGCTGACACAGACTCCATGAAGACCAGTCATTCAAATAGCAGTCACCTGTAAGAAACAGGTTGGTAATTTATACCCATAGGGAACAGTGATGCAGGTACTCACTTTGATTCCAACTGTGCTAGGCCATGTTTGTAAGTATGCTAGTTATACATGATATTTATGATATTTGGATAAGCAATAACTATCATTTATATATAGTAAATATGTTATTTGGAGTGACTGTGTGGTCTCTGTGTGTCTTAATGTTATAAATCATAAGCTATGGCCTGAAGGAGTTTGCCCATCGTGATCATTTCCCAAGAGTTAGCTAATATTTGGCTAAAATCTAACATGACATTTGTTGTTATTGTAAAGGGAGCTAGTAAAACCTAACAACACATAGAACTTGTCTCCAGGTATTCATAAATTTAAGTGAGCTTAAAGTTCAAGATGAGAGAGCCAGTGATTATATGTTTGTTTTTTTTTCTTCCTAGAGTAGTCAGGCTGAGGCAGGCTAGTGAGAAGTTGACACAGTAGAAATAATACTGGTTACTTCTTCACGTCTACATTTCCAATCAACCACATCCCCTTTGAGGAAAACACATAGTACCTGTAAAATGTCAGATACCACAAATCTACAGCAAGTCTGATTATGTATCTATGCAATCAACCTTTAATTAAGAACAGACCATTCCCAGAACCTCAGAAATCCCCCATCATGTTATTCCTGGAATCATTTTATATACCATCATACCTTTTTGCATTTACCATTTTTCACTCACTCATGTTTGTAAGAGCCGTTACATGTTTAAATAGTTCTAATTTGAAACTCTTGTGACTACTGGAGTATAAGCTTATGCTGATCATATATGTTACATGTGTGATTTTGTTGAGGATATGTATAAGAATAGAATTGCATGATCGATCCATGTATCCAGCATCTTTCACCATTTTGAGAACAGGGAAGGGCAGAGGGAGAGAAGGAGGGAGTTAGAGATACAAACAGAGGAGGGATAGGGAGAGAGAGGAGAGGGGAGAGTGAGAGTGAGAAAGTGAGAGGAAAAGGGAGAGAGAGAGGGAGAGACAGATAGATGATAGCTAGCTAGATGATGGGTGATAGATAGATAGATGATAGATAGATAGGTAATAGATAAACTATAGATAGATGATAGATAGATAATAGACAGATTGATGATAGATAGGTAGATAGATAGTTGATAAATAGATGATAGATAGATAGATGATAGATAGATGATAAATAAATAGATGATAGATAGATAGATGATAGATTGATAGATAGATGATAGATAGAAAGATGATAGATAGATGGATACATAAATGGATATATAAATGGATATATATATATATATATAGAGAGAGAGAGAGAGAGAGAGAGAGAGAGAGAGAGAGAGAGAGAGAGAGAGAGAGAGAAGTCAGTTGATCCAGGGGTGGTGGTGGTAGATCTGGGAGCAGTTGGAGAGCAGAGGGGTAAATATGATTAAATTACATTGGATGATGAAATTATCAAGGAATCAAGAAAATATTATTTTAAAAAATCTAGTTCATTTTGAAAATGCCAGGAAAAAAAGCACCAATGAAAATAATTTAAGAAATTTGTAGAAATGCTTGTATCTCTGAGATGTCACATTTTGGGATACCCAGTGTTTACCAGGAAAACCTGGTATGGGTAAAAATTAGAAAATAATACTGCTAAAAGTATAATGTATAAGTGACTACAAACTGAATGAAAATTTAATCTCTCTCCCTTTTGTGTGAGTAGGCTTAATCTCTATATGTATCTTTATTTGATATCATCATGCATTTGCAGAGAAATCCAATAATTATATTTTGCTATAGTGTCTTCATTACATAATCATCATCTTGAAATATTCATGTCAAGATTTAAAAACAATATGAGAATGAAGCATTCCTAGTACTAAACATACTTTTATATTTTAACCAGAGCTATTGAGGTAATAAATTTACACCATACCTTTCAAAGAGGAAAAATATTTTGCCTAATTCATAGTCTACTCTTTAAAGCTTACTGTGTCAAATTCGTCTACCTTTCAAGACATATAGTAGAGGGCTGGGGATGTGGCTTAGAGTATTAGAGATCTTATGCCCTGCAGTAATGCAGTGGTTCTCTGACCCACAGGTATGGTATTATGCTGTTAGTACAGGTTAGTACTGAATAAGATTGTTGACACCCTTCACTTGGACTAAATACATAACCTCTTCTTGAGTCTGTGTGGTGATATTGTGTTCCCTAAAATATTGTACATCCTAATAAACTTATCTGGGGTCAGAGGACAGAATAGCCACTAGATAGACATAGAGGCCAGAAAATGGTGGCACACACGCCTTTAATCCTATCACTTGGGAGGCAGAGATCCATCCAGTTCTGCCACAATGGAAACAGCCAGGCATGGTGACTCAAGCCTTTAATCCCAGGAAGTGATGGCAGAAAGCAGAAAGATATATAAGGCGTGAAAACCAGGAACTAGAGCTGGTTAAGCTTTTAGGCTTTTGAGCAGCAGTTTAGCTGAGATCCATTTGGATGAGAACTCAGAAGCTTCCAGTCTGAGGAAACAGGATCAACTGAGGAACTGGCAAGGTGAGGTAGTATGGCTTGTTCTGCTTCTCTGATCTTCCAGTATTCACCCCAATATCTGGCTTCAGATTTGTTTTTATTAATAAGAACTTTTAAGATTCGTGCTACAACTCTGTTTCTAGGAACATATCTAAAAATATGAATTGTGTCCTGTTGTTACCTGGGCAAGGCTGGGTGCAGGTTTCCTCCAGAACTATCTGTTTATTACCATCTACAATGAGCTCAATGTCAGTGCAGAATTCTTCGTCGACAACTTTGCTGAAATCATCAGCTGAGCCATCACTCACTACACAAGAAATATTTCGTGTCCTGGTTCCTTCTCCACACTGGGCCTCCTGGAATGGAGGGAGAAACAGCTAATTAGAAAAAGAAAAATAATTCATTAGAAAGCTCATGGCTCACAGTCATCTCTGCACCACTGATTTTGATTTATGTGTAGCTAGAGAAGCGTTGGAAACCCCAGGGAAGGAGCCTTATAGGGCATAAGCTATAAAGCATACAACCAACAATTTATTTGCTTCCTAGACAAAGACAGGCAAATAAATTTTCATTAAAAGGAATCAGTCTCCAAATGATTTGAAAAGTATAAAACAGGGGGTGCTTGCTATCAAAACTGATGAAAGGATCAGGAAGTGGCAAAGTCACTAAAATGTTATGAGGAAGCCAAACATCTCTAACTCAAAAATATTTCTAGAACCAAGTCTCAGCAGATGAAGAATGCCCGCATCCACAGAGCTTCCTGAGGTCTGATACCTGAACTTGGCATGAAGACCACTGGCCATACTGCCAGCGATAGCATGGCTTCACCGGGCAAGGCTTGGACTGCTCCATCAGGGAAGGGCAAGGTCTCCCATCACCTTGAAAGGGCTGGGTCACTGTTCGTCTTCGAATCATTTTTCCTTTAGAGATATAAAATGATACAACTTCAGTGTGATGTCATAGTTGTACAAATAGATGGATATATTGTTGAAAGTATCATAGAAGTCTCCCTTGAGGAGACCCCGGAGCAGGAGAGTCTCACATTTTCACAAGGAAGACAACTTTCCAAAGCTAACCTGATATCATTTAGAGCAAGAGAGTTGTTTGGTTTGGTGTGCTTTGACCTCTATCTAGCCTAATGTTAATTGTAATACAAACCAACCTGTGAGTCCACATGTTTGAGAACATTCTGACCAAGGAGACCAGTCTGAAAGCTGACAGTTCAAAGGGCATTCCACCATGCAGGATGTGTTCATTTGCCAGTTCTTCTCTAGGCCAAGCTGAAAGAGGAGAGACAGGTATGTTTGTACCGGCAGGGAGACAGGGCCACGAGAATTGTCAGTGGAAAAAGAAATGAGGAGGGAGAAGAGAAGTGGAAGAGAAAAGAGTAGAAAAGAGTGTAGAGAGCAGTGGAGATGTGGAGACTAGAGGGAAGAAGAGGAGGCTGGAGGGAGGCGGAGGGGATGAGAAGAAAGGTGCAACGCTAGCTGTATGATGTAGCAGAAAGCTACTGGAAAGACACAACTATCCAAACTACTAAGAACATAAAATGCTTCAACCCAACAAAGCAGGAGCCAAGGGCAGAAAGTGAATTCAGGGCCATATATTCAGCTATGTTCTGTGTTAACATTTTCCATAAATAATGAAAAAATACATTGATCTACAAACTAGCTGAATGTCCCTATATGAAGAATTGAGAAGTATAGATGGAACTGCCTTGTAATATTTCAAAATTCAAAATATCATCAATGTATAGACCTATAATTTTATCTTCCTCATATTATTTGTTTTTATGTAGACATATTAAACTGAATAGCCAAATGGTTTTAAAGACCAACTGCCACTTAAACTGAAGATAGAATGTACTGAAAAAAAAAAAAAAAGCTAGGGAGCTGGGGTGTAGCTCAGTGATAGAGTGCATGGTTACTATCTGGAGGCTCTGAATTTAGTCTCTCACACTGAAAATAAATGAGTTGAATTTTTTTTTTTTTTTGTTGTTGATAGAGTTTTTCTATGTAGACTAGAATGTCCTAAAATGCTCTTTGTAGCCAATGCTGGCCTTGAACTTTTGATCCTCTTGCCTAAGCTTGAATTACAGATGTTGTGCCACCAGGCCTGGATAGAAATGTAAGTGAAGTAAGCCATCTTTCTCAAAAGAAATGTGGGTCCTCAGAAATGTGTTGACTGTAAATGTTTTATATAAATTTCTTACAAAGAATTTCTGTAGTATAACTCAGGTTTTTTGTTTTGTTGTTGTTTTATGTATGTGTGTATGCTTGGTGTCTCATAATGTATCATTTTATTTACATTTTGGTCCTGTCATTGTGACTCCCATATTATAGTTTAAAAGTATAAGAAAAAGTTTTGAATTCTTATGCCATATATCCCAATCTTTGAAGTGAAGTCCAAGGTACAATTTAAAATTAAAATATAATTAATATTATAGCAGAAAGATAAATTTTTTATTGGTAATTCTCAGAATTGTCAACCCTTTTCTGTTTTACATGAACAGGAAGTTTAAATTTTAATATTGTACATATGTAAGTATGTGGTTGTGAGAGTGAATATAGACTATGAAATTAGACAAGAGACTAGGAGAAGAGAATAGGAAATGCTGAGGAAGGAGATGGAGGGCAAAGATAGACGGGTATCTGGGATTTAAAGCTATTCCAGGCCACTAAATTAAAGTCTCATAAAGATTTTTAAGAAACACAGGAGGGTGGAGAGATACATCTTGGGGTGATATAGTGAATGTAATGTGAAACATTTATGATCTGCTATAGCTTCAGGGGGAGCATTTAACACAGAATTTGTACTGACTTACTCCATTAGAATGTTTTGGCTATCCACTAATTAGACTTTTAAACTCTGTTTCTTCTGACATTTATTTCATCTTTTCACTCTTTCTGTTTGTCCATCCATCCATCCATCCATCCATCCATCCATCCATCCCTATCTATCTATCTATCTATCTATCTATCTATCTATCTATCTATCTATCTATCTATCTACCTATCTATCTATGCATATTGTCTGCCCAAATTAATCCATTTATTCATGTAAATATGTTTCTAAGTACATTTTACTAATCCATTTAGGTTTTAAAAATAAAAAAAAAAAAAAAAAAAAATGACTAGGTATCAAATGAGTCAAAAAAAAAAAAAAAAAAAAAAAAAAAGAAAGAAAGAAACTCAAAAACACCAAAGGGGAAAATACACTACACAAATGCAAGTGAATTTAACCCTAATTTTCCTCTTTGTTGGGCAGTAATGACACATTTCTTTGCTGCTATTAAGGAAACAGCAAGAGCTACCTACTGCTGCTGAACTGAATGCATGGTTTGCACAGGGGTTGGTAGGTAGGTGGTCCGACCATTGTTTACACAGACAGCCCAGTTGTTTGTGGAGCCAGCTGGAGTCACAGGGATGTATAAAATGCTATGTGTGCTGTTTAATTCCCACAGAGAGTAGCTTAGTTTTCCCTGAAGACAGCATTTGCCAGGATGTTTGGATTTGAACATGCAGTTGTCTCTGTCGAATTCACATAATATGAGGTAGTTTAAAATAGTCTTGAATGCTTTGGGCTCCTCTTTCACAGAGGTCTCATTTCATGTTCTTGTAAAGAGGGAACTTCACCAGGCATTTACAAAAGAGACTACGCTCACCATCCGCTTGTGCTGAATCACAGGCCACTCTCTGGGAAGTTTGTGATTGTTGTAATAATCTTCACTCACAAAAGTGCTATTCAATGTTGGTTATATTGTTTAAATAGTATTAGTTTAAAAACTTGAGTTTAACTTACTTTTACATAATATATGAATAGGTCGGTTCATGTCACAAGATTTTAGTGGCCAGCATTTATTAACTAAACAACTTGCTGTTTTTAGAGCAGCTGAAAACCTATAGACGGAGATTCGAGGAAGTTAAAGTTATGTGCACCTGACAGTGGCATTAAATGCATGCAAGTAGTTCCATTTATGGCTTTTCCTTAAGAGTTAAGACAGTTTTGTTTCAGATCTATTGAAGCCCTTGCTTATTTGGTCGGAAAATGACCCCTGTGGATCTCAGAAGCACAGGGAGCCAATTGACAGAAATGCCATATCCTTTTAGGTTTGGAAATCAGACAAAATCCCTAAGAGGTGCAGCTCTATGAAAAGGTCAATGCAATGTTTCTCCACTGCTCAGAAGGTCACAGCTAAGAATGGCGGTATTGCTTTCATTCAATGATTAACTATAAACTACAGTTTTTCTGCGCCTTAAAGATAATGGTGACAGACTTTGTTTCTTTGCTTGAACATTCAGCTTTCTTATCCAGACATGAGACCTAAGTATTTAGATTCTCGCAGCTGGGTATCAGATCTTAATATCAAAATCTGCTATGAAACTGCATGTGATCAATGTTTAGCAACAGAAAGAATGAATGATGGATCTTGGCAGGTGTCCAAGCTCTGCACCTAATTCACATCAAATTGCAAAAGATGATGAGTGGTCTGATTAAGATTTATTGCCTTTATTCACCTTGATTGCTTATTGTTTCCCAAGCATTTCTTCCAGAATGGGCTAATTAGCATACCTTTGGGCTCATGGCAGAACAAAATACAGGAAATTATCTGTGGAAATCAGTAGTGTGGATACTGTCTCTTTTCAGGAGGGCACTAGACAGCCTGTGAAAACAGCTGTTGGCCATGCGCTGTGTGGAGCACACGTCACTTGGCTTCATGCGAATTTAAATTATTAGGGAAGAATTTCCTACCAACATTTAACACAGCACTCACTCACCTCTTCACAATATTTCAGGTCAACAGACTTGCCATCACTTCGAACACAGTCCAACATCCTTGTTTTTATGCCATTTCCACAAACTGCCTTTTCGCTCAGCTGACACGTACTCCAGTCTGAACAGAGCAAGACCCATCAGAACAGAAGGCGATGCACAAACAGATTTCAGATGAAGCTCTGATGACCTGAATCCCATACCTAATTCACAACTGCTTCCTAAGCCCCACAATCAATCATCCCACATGCAGAGCATATGGGTCCCAGCCTTGAACGTATTAGGAGTCAAATGGAATTGCTGCGGTTGCACAGAGTGGTGGGGATTATTCTTTAAGGCAGATGTCTACTTGACAATCTTGACAGCTAGCTATTTAGTGATATTGTAAAAATGGCTTTGCTCTATAGATCAACACCATTTCTAAACTTTTTTCTTAAGAAGGGTAGAATTTAAAAAATTAGCATTATGTCTCTTTTAGCAAAGTAGGCATAATTTTAATGGATGGTACTCCGTAGGTGTAGTTAACACCATGTACTTCATTTGTTTCCATAGTAGGATTTTTTTTAAAAAAATGCAAACTCAATTATTTCATAAATAACTTCAGCATATTTATTAAATTTCCCTTATTTTGTATCTTTCACAAAAATCATTCTTTCATCTTTGTCTAGACTAGGACAACATACCCTAGAGGACTTTAATTTCCTTTGTGTCATCAAAACAAACTGTAGAGAAAATCAAGAATCAGAAGCCAATGTGACTATTACATTTCTGTTTTCAATTTCTTGAGCTTACTTCAATGGGGAAATTACTTGGGAAAAATTCAAGTTGGCTTTGATATTGTACCAAAACAAAGGAACCAATGAAATATTTTTGATGTGTATGCTTTGACAGTATTAAATGAAATTAATGAAACAAATGCAATTTATCACAAGTCTACTCATTTGAATACTCATCTTTAAGATTACAGAATTTGGCTGGGCGGTGGTGGCGCACGCCTTTAATCCTAGCACTCAGGAGGCAGAGCCAAGTGGATCTCTGTGAGTTCGAGGCCAGCCTGGGCTACCAAGTGAGTTCCAGGAAAGGCGCAAAGCTATACAGAGAAACCCTGTCTCGAAAAAACCAAAAATAAATAAATAAATAAATAAATAAATAAATAAATAAATAAGATTACAGAATTTTACATCATGCTAATGTTCATAAATGTCCCTGCACCCCAGGAATTATTGATGTAGATGTTATAACAATCAAACATCTGCCAAAAAAGAAAATATATTTGTACCTTTCTAAAGTGGGAGGTTTTAAATTGGATTATATGGAATATTTACCACCTACTTTAAAAATTTAGTCTTTGTGATACTTTTATTTTTCATATTTTGATGTTTAATAAAGAATAAAACAGATAACTACTTCATGTCATTATTGCTCAGAGTGTAAGCTATGTCTCCAAATGGCACACAGCATAGCTGGCCTAGGCAGATGAGAATGTCTAGAGCTGATTTATACGTGACAAAACCCCAGATTCTATGAAGACATGATAAAGTGCTCACCTGTGACATTGTAGTCATAGTGGTAGCAGTTTTTGTTCAGATTACAGGGCTCTCTCTCCACGGCATCAGGGCAGATTCTTCCTTCATCAGCAGGCTGTCTGATGGGCTCAGCCGACCTTTGCCGGGAACCACCTGGATTGCAAGGCTTACAAAGAACAATAGCATTTTTCAGGAAGGTAAACTCAGCTGTCCAACAGCTAGCATGTTACTGGAGCTGGCATTAAAGCACTCAGTTCATTGGCTAATTTGAACAAGTCAGTTAACCTCATCATCTTTCAGAGTTCCCATATGTGGAATGCAGACATTGACTAAGAATCTGATGTCCCATCCTAGCTAGAAGATGCTTAAGTCATTACTTCACACCTATATAAACACATTCACATGGCCATAATCATTATCAAAGAATGTTAATCCCATAAGCTGTAATGATTTAATGTGTAAGTATAAAAGTATATACGTGTATATGCATGTTTCCACTTGTGTGTGTGTATGTATTAATTGACTTAACCAGTTTAAATGGTGACTTGAAATAATTATCTAGGTATTAATGACTTTTATTTTCCTAATGCAATGCTCATATAAACAATTTAGCATCTATAGAATGGCTGCCTATTTTCTTACTGGTGTGTCTTTCTGAAAACATTTGGCTTCTAAGAAGGGAAAGGGACAAACAATTTTGGATTTCTTAGGCCTAAAGTAGTTATTGCCTTGTCTTTTGCTCTCCCTGTATTTTAATCATATCACAGAAGCAATACTTTCTGTATTTAGAGAATGCAAATTATATAAAACTGTACTCAAAGTGTGAGTACACTGAACAATTTCTGTCTTCTATATCTATATATTCTTTGAACCTAACAGTTTTTTGCACACAGTAAATGCTTTGTGTTTGTTTATGGATGTCTTGGGTGATGAAACAAGATAACTTATAAAGTCCAAAAGGTACACCTAGTCAACTAGTTGAATTTTAATCTCATTCTAAAATTTCTATTGGCAAATGCTCAAGAAAACAAAATATGTTTCACAAACTTTTCCTTGTTATACATGGTGGAACTCAATATTTTTTAAAGACAGTTACTTAGGGACATTTAAGACAGAACCCAGATGAGCTTAGTTCCTGTTCACCGGGTCCTGCTATTGGCATCCGTGCTAAGGAATTTAAGGAGCTGCCCAAGTTCAACAGTCTCTGTTTTATAGAACCTGAAGATTCTTCTAATGGAATCTCTGATGATGAGAATTCCATTATTGTAAACAGAAGTAGAAACTGTAGAATAAAGTTCAACTGCAGAATTAAAACAGAAGTTCATTTGCAGCCTCTCAAGAAGGGTGGAGCCTTTTCCTTCCTTTCCATATCTGTTCAGGTGATAGACTGGGCCTGTTCTTCTGAACAGTCCATTGGTTTCCAGTTCTCATGTTAACAGTGTTAACACAGAGACAAAAAGGCAAATCTCCTTGGAAAACACAGACTATAAACTTGCCTGAAGCTGTCCTTTACTGTAATTCAAGCAATTTGACATTAGATGTATCTTTCCAATATTTTTTTCACATTGCTTTTAAAAGCTGTGCAGGGTTAAGCTAATTATGCTGGGTAGTTTTATATCAACTTGACACAGGCTAGTGTCATCTGAGAGAAGGGAACTCCAATTAAGAAAATGCTTCCACAAGATTGGGCTGTAGGCAAGCTGGTAGAGGTTTTTTTTTAAATTAATGATCAATGTGGTCGGGACTAGCCCATCGTCAATGGTGTCATCCTATCTCTGGGCTTTTACTCCTGGGTTCCATAAGAAAGCAGGATGAGCTAGTCAGAGAGAACAAGCCAGAAAGAAACCCTGCCATGGCTTCTGCATTAGCTTCTGCCTCCAGGTTCCTGTCCGTCATGAGTTCTTGCCCTCACTGCTTTTGATGACAAACTGATATGTGGAAGAGGGAGTAAAATAAATCCTTTTCTCCCCAAGCAGCTTTTGGTCATGATGATGTTTCATCACAGCAACAGTAACTCTAACTAAGACACTACATTTCCTGCATATTGTTTCAGGTGATTCCCTTCCTCTGAATGGATGGTAGGGCCCCCACTGCTATTGAAATCCAGAGTTCTGTCTGAGTTTGAACTCATTTGGCTTTCTAGGAAAATGAAGAAGCTCAGACTATGTGTGACTATCAGGCTGTCCTTGGTGTCAATTTGACTACATGTGGAATTAACTAAAACCCAATTCCCTGTGAGGGATTGTTTCTTAATTAAATCATTTGAAGTGGCAAGATCCACCTTTAATCCAGATCTTGGAAGTGGGAAGATATACCTTTAACACATATTTTTTGAGGAGGGAAGATCTACCTTTACTATGGGCCACACCTTCTGTAGGCAGCCTATCTATATAAAGGACCTGGAAGAAGGATGCTCTCTGCCTGATTGCCCTTACTGTCACCTGCAAGTCCACTCATGCACTGGCACTAGAGTCTACTATTTTGGGATTCTGGCATATACTGAAGACCAGCTGAGACAATCAGCCTCTTGGATTGAGCAGTTACTGAATTCTTGGACCTTTAGTTGATGACAGACATTGTTGGACTAGCTGGACCACAGCCTGTAAGCCACTCTGATAAATCTCCCCCTGCTAATATATAAGCTCTATAACTTCTGCTCCTCTAGAGAACCCTCACTAATACGCAGTGTGTAGATGTAACCAACCATCTTATTAAATAAGAAACACAGAACCAATATAAAGAAGAAAGCCAAGAGGTCAGAGCTCAGAGCTAAAACCTTACCCTTCCTCCGGCAGTGGTCCTACCTCTCTGAAAGAGAGCTACTTCCTGTGTGTTTGTCTTTATGTAGTCTTTCTGTTCTGCCTTCTCATTGGTTGTAAACCCAAACACGTGACTGCCTCGTCTCTGCCTGTTAAGTACAGCCCTCCAGGTCTTAAAGGTGTGTGTCTCCAATGCTGGCTATATCCCTGAACACACAGACTTACCTAGTTCTGCCTACCAAGTGCTGGGATTATAAACGTACGCCACAAACGCCCAGCTCTGCTATGGCTTGCTATTAGCTCTGACCCCCAAGCAACTTTATTTATTAACATACAAATAAAATCACATTTCAGTACAAATAAAATACCACCA